AACATAATGGAAAATCAAACGCAGGCACTACTCTTTGGCAGGGAAAGCGCAAGTCCTTATAAAACTACAATTCCTATGATTTAAAAAATTGCAAACATTTCTGCTCTCAATTTGAGGCCTGCTTTGCTTTCCTGGCAGTCTGTTTTTCGTCTCCATCCATTCTCCGTGACCGTTTTGACGTTGCTAATGCGATATTAAATTCCATTAATTTTCTGTGCCAAGGATGAGCCCCAGTCATTTGTCTCTCTCCTTTCTAGCTTTCGTTCGTTCTCCGCATGAGAAATGAGGGCGGCAGGTTTTTCCTTAAATTGATTAGCTGCGATAAGGCTTCCCAGATGGAATTATTTCACAGTTGTTTTGGACATGTTTCGGGAGAATGGGATGAGGCTGGAGATTTGCACCGAGGTCTTCTATCTTGCTTGGAGCTGAGCCCATCAAAACGAGAAAGTATGCACCCCTCTCTCCTAACTAAGATCATAATAGGTAACGGTAGTCCCCTGACATGAAGTCCAGTCGTGTCCGACTCTGGGGTGGTGGTGCTCATCTCCATTTCTAAGCCGAAGAGGAGCCGGCGTTGTCCGTAGACACCTCCAAGGTCATGTGGCCGGCATGACTAGGAAATCCTGGAACCCAGTTTGAGGGATGACGCTGATCTACTAAGACAGTGTTTCTCAACCTTCCAAATGCTGTGACCCCTTAATACAGTTCCTCATGTTGTGGTGACCCCCAACCATAACATTATTGTTGCTACTTCATAACTCTAATTTTGCTACTGTTGTGAATTGTCATGTATATTGGACAGATGGCAAGCTGTTTAACCTCAGCGGACTGAAAGCCAAAATCAAGGTTACAACAACATCTGTTATAGAAATCCAATATGCTGATGACAACATCATCTGTGCTCATTCAGAAGATCTACAAGCCACTCTAAACACCTTCGCAGAAGCATACAAGAAGCTCGGCCTGTCATTGAGGATCAAGAAAACCAAAGTGCTCTTCCAGCAGTCACTATCCAATCCCTTTCCAATGCCAGAGATATTATTATTATTATTATTATTATTATCTTTATTTATACCCCGCAAAATCTCCCGAAGGACTCGATGCGGCTTACAAAGGCCAAGGCCGCCAACAACAATAACATACACATACACAATAAAAGTCATAAGCAAATAAAACATCAAGCAAAGCATTAGAACAATAAAAAACCAATAAAAAACAATACAACTTATGGTGTAACTTTAGAAAACTTTGACCATTTCTGCTCCCTTGGCAGCCACCTCTCCACCAAAGTCAACATCGACACCGAAATACAACACCGCCTGAGCTCTGCGAGTGCAGCATTTTTCCAAATGAAGCAGAGAGTGTTTGAGGACCGGGACATCCGTAGGGAGACCAAGGTGCTTGTTCATAAAGCCAATACTTTATAAAGGGATAGCCAATATTCCAGAGCACAGGGTCATCTTTCAAAACAATTTTGACAGATTAGAGAGCTGGGCCAAAAC